TATTCTATTTTTCGATAATTCTCTCTCTCTCTCTCTCTCTCTCTCTCTCTCTATATATATATATATAGCTAATAATATACGATTGAGAATACTCACGATTGAAGGACTGACGTCATTGGCGACCGTCGTCCAATCCTGCTGGCCGTAGATCTGATACTGCAGGACGAATGACGTCATCGCGCAGCCGCCATCCCTCCACGCGGTGAGATTCAGTACGACCGACGTCGAGTTGAGAACGATGAAGTTGCCGCTAGGGGCCATGATGGGAGCTGCGGGAAAGTCGACGACCAATGAACGAGTTGAAATCTTGGGTTTTTGTCAGTTTTTACTCGATCATTTCTAGACGGTTCTATCTTGGAGTAGTATCATTCGGACTGATTATTCATCCATCATTTATCATTCTGAGTGATCATTCAGAATGATTACTCCAAAGTTCTATAAAGGTGGTGGTGTAGCCGCATGACTTAGTGGTCGCTGGTGGACTATGGACTACAGTGTCGCTCAAAGAAAACACAGAAACTGTCCTTACTAGACAGGTGGTCGTTCTATAGAGGTAACACAGGGTCGACTGCGGGGATTTTTTCTAGCGAGTATGCTTCGGTTAATGGAAGCGGTTTGACCGATCCGTCTACGGGAGATAACCAACCACGTCCGCCTTGGATTGACCAGGTCTGTGAAGACCAGACCAGTTTGGCACGCGTGTGTTACTCGCGTCCACGTCAAAATTTCGACTTCGCGGCACTAAACTACTTCTACTTCTTTGCTAAGCAGGGTTTATAGAATGCCTCACCTGCAAGCCCTGACTAGCCAGAGCTACCCACGCGATAATTACATGCCGACAGGTAAATTCTTGCTTTGATTTAAAAAATTCAATGATATAAATTAGAATGTTAATTAAATAAATAAAATTTAAATTTTCTGTAATAAATATTTTTAATCTGTTTTTTTTTTCAATTCCCGGCTTGCCTCACCTGATCCGCTGGTGCGTGTTTCGAGAATGTCGCTAGGGGCGCTGGCTCCGATGCGATTGCGGGCGGTGACGAACATCTGGTATTTGGTGCCACACGCGAGGTCGTCGACGACAAACGTGTTGTTCTTACCCGACACCTCCTGCGTTCGCCATTCCTCGAACTCTCGCTTCGTGCTGAGCGTTATCCCTGAAGAAGGACACGCGCGAGTTGCAAGTAATATTAGTCATGATAGAAATCCGCCGACGATGGGGACGATGGTGGTGACGTCCTCGTAGAACGGCACGTCGCGGTCGCTATACACAGTGAGCGGCTTCAACGTCTCTGCGGAGGAGAGTCAGATGATGAGTGAGTGAGAGAGAGAGAGAAAGAGAGAGAGAGAGAGAGAGGAAGAGGGAGAGAGATAAAGTGGGCGGAGGGAACAGAGAGAAAGAGCGAAGATGGGCGAGTGAAAGAGTAAGAAAAAGAGAGGGGCGAGAGAGGGAGAGGGTGAAGGGAACAGAGGGAGGGAGGGAGGGAGGGAGGGAGGGAGGGGGAGGGGTGAAATGGTGGGAGAAATACAGAGGGGGAGGGATGGAGAGAGGGAGATAGATAGATAACGAGTAATACAACTCGTATAACAATAGTAAACAAAAAACGAAAACAGCGAAAAAAAATAACGGCAAAACACACAACAAAACAATAGAAAGAACCACCACCAACAACAGCTACAACAGCAACAAATAAAAAAAAAACGTATAACAAAAAAACCGCCAAGACCACGTCGAAGGAAGGACGACGATGACGATGGATGTACTCACGCCCGATGTAGGAGAGCGTCGCGAAGCTGTAGGTAGCGATGGTGCTGCTCGCCTCGTTGTTGGCGGTGACGCGAAGCGTGTAGAACGTTTCCGGGTGAAGGTCGTGGATGCGGAAGAGACCCTGTCACGTGACATGACGTGGTGATGATAATATTTGAGATTATATATATATATATTTACATTAATAATTTTGTATTATAATTATTTTTATTAATATTATATTTCCTTATAATATTGATATATCAGAGATTTTAGGCGGTAACATTTTATATTTTTGTAGTAAAATTTGATTTTTTTCTATGGTAACGTTGGAGATTTACATCCCACGGTAAATGCTGCGTCACACAGATAGGAATCGAGCGATTGTAAGGCTACTGATTTGTAGTCTAGTCTACTCCTAAATATCCATAAAAAGAACATGCTTTCACATAAATATGCACCACGACGTTAATATGTGATGTTTTATGGGCTATGCATAGTAGCAGCTTTAATGGCTAATGTATGTAAATAGCTGGGACTATAAAAATAGCGGCTTATGCACGGGAGACACGCATATATAAGTAACTAAGAGATGTCAATGTCTATATACCCAACGATTAAACTTCTTGTGTACCGGCGCGGGATCGTTAATACATGTCAACTCTCTAATGCGTAAAGATAACGGTGTAATGCGCGTACGATCAATATCCATTAACAACATCATATATAACCAACTTATAATAGCGTGCTTTGTTGCCACCGATCACGACTAAAGTCTTCTGAAAGATTACTTCGAATAACGAGGGAGAGAGAGAGAGCGAGAGAGAGCGCGTGTGAGAGAGAGAGCGAGCGAGAGCGAGCGAGAGAGAGAGAGAGAGAGAGAGAGAGAGAGAGAGAGAGAGAGAGAGGAGGAGAGAGAGAGAGACGAGAGAGAGAGAGAGAGAGAGAGAGCAAAACAAAAGAATGAAGGAAGTTCTAAAGAAGTTCTCCTCTCTCTCTTATATATATATGTATATATATATATAATATATTCTATATATATAACTATAATATATAGCTAATAATATACGATAGAGAATACTGCAGCGATTGAAGGACTGACGTCATTGCGACCGTCGTCCAATCCTGGCTGCCGTAGATCTGGATACTGTAGGACGAATGACGTCATCGGCAGCCGCTCATCCCTCCACGCGGTGCGATTCCAGTACGAACCGACGTCCGAGAAGTTTGAGAATGATGAAGTTGCCGCTAGGAGCCATGATGGGAGCTGCGGAAGGGAAGAAGCGAATCAACGAGTTGAAATCTGGCGGTTTCGTCAGTTGGGTTTTACTCGATCATCTTTAGACCGTTCTATCTTGAAGTACTCATTCTGAACTGATTATTCATCCATCATTATCATCTCTGAGTATCATTCAGATGATTACTCCAAGGTTCTATAAAGGTGGTGGTGTCGCCGATAGCGAGATAGCCGACCTAGCGGTCGCTGATGGACTATGGATCTATAGTGTCGCTCAAAGAAAACACAGAAACCTGTTCCTTACTAGACAGGTGGTCGTTTTTATAGAGGTAGCGCGGCTAACACAGGGTCGACTGGGGGAATTTTTCTAGGCGGGAGCTATGCTCGGTTTAACTGGAAGCGGTTTGACCGATCCGTCTACGAGAGATAACCAACCACGTCCGGCCTTTGGATTGACCAGGTCTGTGTAACCAGACCCCCTTTGGCACGCGTGCGTTACTCGCGTCCACGTTAAAATTTCGACTTACGCGGCACTAAACTACTTCTACTTCGTAGCTAAAGGGGGCAGTGAGTTTATAGAATGGCTCAGCCTGCAGCCTGACTAGCCAGAGCTACCCACGCGATAATTACGTGCCGAAGGTAATTGCTTGCTTTGATTTTAAAAAAAACATTAATTGATATACATTCGAATTTAATTAAATAAATATAGATTTAAATTTTCTTTAAATAAATATTTTTAATGCTGTTTTTTTTTCAATTCCCGGTTGCCATCACCTGATCCGCTGGTGGCGTGTTTCGAGAATGTCGCTAGGGGCGCGGCTCCGATGCGATTGGCGGCGGTGACGAAGCATCTGTATTTGGTGCCACACCGCGAGGTCCGTCGACGACAAACGTGTGTTCCTTACCGCGACACCGTTCCGCGTTCGCGCATTCCTCGAACTCATCGCTTCGTGCTGAGCGTTATCCTGAAAAGAAGGACAGCGCGCGAGTTGCCAAGTAATAATTAGTCATGATAGAATAAATTTATTTCTACGAAGGACGACGAGAAGGACAACGATAACAACAGCTACACGACGACAGGGCGACGACGACGACCGACTGCACACCACTACCACCACCTACGCAATCAACGGCCATCGCGACCGCCACC